CCATGCACCATGTCCATGCACCATGTCCGAGCACCATGTTGAACACCACGCCCTTGCACCATGTCCGAGCACCACGGTCAAGCACTGTCCGCACATCATGTCCACACACCACGGCTGAGCACCACGTCCATGGTGCATGGCTGAGCACCGTGCCCGAGCACCATGTCCATGCACCATGTCCATGCACCATGTCCTAGAACCATGTCTGAGCGCTGTGGTCAAGCGCCGTGTCCACACACCATGTCCATGCACCATGTCCGAGCACTGGGGTCAAGCACCACGTCCACACACGATGTCCGAGCACCACAGCAGAGCACCGTGCCCAAGCACCATGTCCATGCACCAAGTCCAAGCACCAAACACAGCACCATGTCCACACACCACGTCCATGATGTGTGTCCGAGCACCGCATCCAAGCACCGCGGTCAAGCACCATGTCCGAGTGTCATGTCCGAGCATCATGTCCATCACGCGTGGCCAAGCGCTGGGACCAAGCACCATGTCCAAGCACCACGTCTGAGCACCACGTCCATCATGAGTGGCCAAGCACGGGGACCAAGCACCACGTCCACGCACATCTGAGCACCGCACTGAGCACCATGTCCGGGCACCGTGTCCACAAGGAGTGGCCGAGCACCGTTCCTGAGCGCCACGCCCATGACCACGCTATGTCCATGACCTGTGGCCGAGCACCACGACCGAGCACCACGCCCATGACCACGCTATGTCCATGACCTGTGGCCGAGCACCACGACCGAGCGCCACGCCCATGACCACGCTATGTCCATGACCTGTGGCCGAGCATTGAGCCTGAGCACCGAGTCCGAGCACCGCATCTATGATGTGTGACCGAGCACCGCGTCTGAGCACCACAGCCACCACGTGTGACCGAGCACCATGTCCGAGCACTTATGTCCACACCCCACATTCGAGCAGCCTGTCCAGGCACCATGGCCAAGCACCATGGCCCCACGCCTGTCTAAGCACCATGACCACACACCTGTCCAGGCACCATGGCCCCACACCTGTCTAAGCACCATGACCACACACCTGTCCAGGCACCATGGCCCCACACCTGTCTAAGCACCATGACCACACACCTGTCCAGGCACCATGGCCCCACACCTGTCTAAGCACCATGACCACACACCTGTCCAGGCACCATGGCCCCACACCTGTCTAAGCACCATGACCACACACCTGTCCAGGCACCATGGCCCCACACCTGTCTAAGCACCATGACCACACACCTGTCCAGGCACCATGGCCCCACACCTGTCCAGGCACTATGGCCAAGCGCCATGGCCACACCCCTGGCCGAGCGCTGCGGACACCTGGCTGAGCCCTACACCTGGACATCACCTGCAGCACCTCATCCCGGGGCCACACCCGCCCCGGACCCGCAGGGAACGGCTCCAGCCCGGCGGCACGCCTCGGACGCGGCGCCTCTTTCAGTTTGCATAAACCCAAAACCGGCTCCCGGCACGCCTCGAGCTGTCGCTCCGGAAAAGTAAACTTCCTTCTCAACGACATTGCTTAAATTTTGTTTCTTTGTTTTTGTTTTTTTTTTTTAATCTTGGTTCCTTAATTTGATATATACATTAGTAGCACCTCAGCGAGATGGAATCAGGCAGAAGCGTGATACAGTTTGTTAAAACACCATAGCACCGTTTGTATTACAAGATTTCATTTCATAAAAATATGCCTTATAGAGCCCACAAAGCGTACTCCAGTATTAAAAGGAAAAATCAGCACTTGAGGCACCTCAGGGATTCTGGTTTCCTTCTCCTTCCCATGCCTCATCCCGAGAGCATCGAGATGGAGGGGGACCCAAATTGCATCCCCCGTTTCCTGCCCGAGGCGAAGCACCGTGGCCAGAAAAACCAAAGCGGGCCGGAGGAGCCGGTGGGGGCTCCCCGTGCCGAGCCCTCCCTGGGGTTCCCACCACGGCCGTTGCTCTAGCACCATTGTGGCCATGACCTGCTGCAAAACCAGGTCCCCACATCCCACTCGTTAAAAACATCCCTCCCCCCGAGCTCCGCGACCCCCGCGGCTTCGGCACGGGCGGGACGAGCGCGGCCGCCGGGACGGGGAAAGGGAAAAGATTTTGCTTGGAAACAGCCTCTCAGCAGCAAGGGGTAAAGAGCTGTGCATAGATTTCGAGTTTGTGTAGAAGTCTGAAGCGTGCGAATTCGTAATGACTGAGAGTTGAGGTAGGTTAGACAAAGTTGATGTAGTGTAAAAACGTTGAGACTGCAGCAGTTCTCGCTCCCCGACCCGCGGCGCCGGCAGCTCCCCGCTCTCCCGGGCCGAACCCGCCGCGCCGACCGACCCCTCCCTGCACCGAAAAACCTCTGAGGAAGCAGGACTTAGACAGGTTACACGGACCATCGCCTTCTGCCAACGCTCCTTCTCCTCCAAGGCACCCCCGTCACCGTCACGCCAGCCAGAGAGCCCGGGCGACACCAGCGGGGCCGGCACCCGAACCCGGCCCCGCATCGCCCCCGCTCCGCGTTCCGAACCGCGGCGGGTCCCTGGCGGCGCCCGCCGGCGTCCCTAAAATCTGACTCTTACAATCCTGATATGCTATTGGGTATTTCTAAGAAAAGCGGGAATAGCTCGTTGAGTTTCCTTGTCAAATATACGCGACTTTACAGATTACGGTTAAAAAACGAACAGAAAACAAAAAACAAAAAAAAAATCATTAATGATGAAGGACGGACAAAGCATGTTAAATATTCTGCCAGTATTTACAGTTCTCCCACGATAATCTTGTTTAAAACATACTGCTTCAAGTTGGGGGGGAGTGGGGGGAGAGGAAAGAGGGGAGTTGTTTGCTTTTTTTAAGTTCCGCTTTCATTCTTTTTTTTTGTTTTGTTTTGTTTTTAAATCTAGGTGAAAGTGCTTTTAAAAAAATTTCTTTCCCTATTTACAGGTTTAAAATCAGACCACGTCAATGTTCAGGCTGTTTTACCGAGATCCTGCTGATCCGTGCCCGTGCGCAGGGGGGAGGAGGGTGACGGTAAACACGAGGTGATCCCGCACGGCGACGGCGTCGGCGCTGCCTCGCTGGCTCTCCAAAAGGCACCTCAAAGTGCAAAAGCAACGACCCCGGCCGGGGACGCCGGCTCCGGCCACGCCGCGCTGCCGGGGGCAGCTCGGCCGCGCCGCGCCCGTCCCGGCGCCGGGCGGGAAGCCTCGACTGAGAGTGTTCGAAAAGCACCACGCGGTTGTCGTCGTTGCTGGGTTGTTGGTTGGGTTGGGGTTTTTGTTTTGTTTTTTTTTTGTTTGTTAAGGACGGACAAAGCATGTTAAATATTCTGCCAGTATTTACAGTTCTCCCACGATAATCTTGTTTAAAACATACTGCTTCAAGTTGGGGGGGAGTGGGGGGAGAGGAAAGAGGGGAGTTGTTTGCTTTTTTTAAGTTCCGCTTTCATTCTTTTTTTTTGTTTTGTTTTGTTTTTAAATCTAGGTGAAAGTGCTTTTAAAAAAATTTCTTTCCCTATTTACAGGTTTAAAATCAGACCACGTCAATGTTCAGGCTGTTTTACCGAGATCCTGCTGATCCGTGCCCGTGCGCAGGGGGGAGGAGGGTGACGGTAAACACGAGGTGATCCCGCACGGCGACGGCGTCGGCGCTGCCTCGCTGGCTCTCCAAAAGGCACCTCAAAGTGCAAAAGCAACGACCCCGGCCGGGGACGCCGGCTCCGGCCACGCCGCGCTGCCGGGGGCAGCTCGGCCGCGCCGCGCCCGTCCCGGCGCCGGGCGGGAAGCCTCGACTGAGAGTGTTCGAAAAGCACCACGCGGTTGTCGTCGTTGCTGGGTTGTTGGTTGGGTTGGGGTTTTTGTTTTGTTTTTTTTTTGTTTGTTTGTTTTTGAGGGAAGAACGGTGATCCGTAGGAAGGAGGGATGGCACCCGGGGAGAGAAAAGAGCACCGAGCCCCGGCGGCGCTGCCGCGCCTCGCCGGCACCGGCGGGGAAGGCGGACCCGGCGGGGTTGTGGCCAGCCAAGTCTTGGGATTCGCTCTTCCCAGAGCCGATTGCACGGAGAAAGTCCCCCGGAGACGGAAAGCACCAGACTTTAGCAACAGTGATGTACAGAGAGCAACACTCGCTATTCACAGTTTGGGGTTGGTTTGTGTTTTTTTTCCTGTTTTTTGTAATTTTTTTTTCTTTTTTTTTTCTTCTGTTTTTGTCCCGTCGGCTCCTACGGAGACGCCGCCGCTGCCGCTCGCCCCGGAGGCCGTGGGCAAAGGAGCCCCAAGTCCGAGCCCGAGCGTGGCCCCCCGGCAGCGGCGTTCCCCAGCCCGGACGTGTCCTGAGGTCTCCGGCGCCAGGAGAGACGCCGGCTTTGCTCCGCGGCGGCAGAGCCGATCCTGCCGGAGGCGAGAGCCGGGCGGAGATGCGCCATCCCGGGACGGCCCGCTCGCTCGCGGGCTCCCGTTGCTGTGAGAAAGGTCTCCTCCAGCTGCAAAATTGGTATTTTTAGGTCCTTGGAATAAAAATAATTGGATGTTCAGCGTGTCCGGCTGACAGTAAAGCACACGGTCCCAGCAGCCCCCACGCGGCGGAGCTGGAGGGAGTCACCTCCTGCCTTTGAGCTGGTTTGGTGTTCAAGTTGGTTTGGATTCATGATTAGGGTGGTTTCTCAACATTGGCTTCTCTTTCAAAGATCGGCTTCGTCGTTGTCATCGGAGTAAAAAATAAAATAAAATCAAATCCAACAAACAGGCCATTTGAAGTGGAATTAAAAACCTCTCCTTGCGAAAGGACGCTAGGAAATTCATCCGAGGCTAGATTAAAAAAGATGGAGATATAAATATGAGATTACCTAAAATCATCAAACAGCATCGTTCCTCTTGGGTTTTTACCCAAGTTTTGCTTGCTTTGCCAACTCCTCGCCGGGCGCAGCTCTCCGACGGCGTGAGCCCGCGCCGGCTCCGCTGCTCCCAAGCACACGCGTTGGGTTCGTTTCCTATGGGTTGGATTTTTTTTTGTTTTTTGTGGTTGTTGTGTTTCGCTTCGGTTTCGTCTATTTACTTTTGTTTTCTTCTCCCCCGCGCCCGAGGAGAAAGCACCACGAAGCAACGCCGGGCTGCGGCGCTGCCGAGGGTTGAGGTAAGATGGGGCCATGGCGGTCGCCTCGGTCTCAGATCCAGCGGCTGTAGGGGCCCGTCACCTTGGTGTAGGCGTAGGAGGACACAGTGATGGCGGAGTTGGTGGGGATTGCCACCGCCTGCCGCGTGGGGACTGAGTCCCTCCTCTCCTTGCTGGGCGCCTCGGTCGCCAACGCGCCGCCCCACTTGCGCTTCTTGGCAAAGGCTTTGGCGTCCGGCGGCAGCCCCAGACGCGCCGCCTCCTCCTGCCGGGCCCGAGCCCGCTCCGCCAGCTGCTTCACCTTGGCCTCCCACAGCGCCAGGCCGTGGTTGGGCTGGTTCAAGTTCTTGTGTTGGTAGAAGACGAGGGAGATGCGGGTGGGGTGGCAGCGGTTGGGTTTCTTCAGCGGGGTGGTGGCGTGCAGCTCGCGGCGGGCACACTCGATGAGGATGGAGCCGTGGGCGGGCGCCACGGCCACGCCGCCGATGTTCTCGTCCAGGAAGTTGTGCTCACTGTCCGACCACTCCTCTTCCTCTTCCTCCTCCTCTTCCTCCTCCTCTTCCTCTTCCTCCTTCACCGCCTTCTCCGGCAGATCCTCCTCCAGGCCAAAGGGGTCCCACGGCTTCTCCTGGCGGGGCCCTGCCGCCCCCTTCTCACCCGCCGCTGCCTCCCACGGCTTCTCCGCCAGCCCCGGGCTGGGTGCCGGTGTCCTCCGCTCCTCCACCTTCACGGAGCCCCACGGCTCCTCGGGGAAGCCGGGGAGCCCTGGCAGAGCCGAGCTGAACCCCAGCGACCCCAGCAGGCCCGGGGTGCCCGTGCCCGCCGGCGCCGTCTCCCCCAGCTTGCAGGGGCTCCACGATTTCGGCAGCAAGCCCGAGCCGTGCGCCGCTGCCGCCGTCTCTCCAGCCAGGACGTTGGACCACTGCTTCTCCGGCGGCGGCAAGCGCACGGCGGCATCGAAGGCGCTCAGCTTCTCCCGCCCGCCCGAGCCCGGCGCCAGCGCGCTCCACGAGCCCTCAGCCGTGCTAGTCCTCTCGGGGGAAGCCGTGCCCTGGGGAGCCTTGAAGGGGCTCCACCGCTGCTCCGGCGCCGTGCCGTGCGCGGGGACGGCCGGCAGCGTTAAACCAGCGCCGGGCACGGCCGCAGCGCTGGGAAGGGGCTCGATGGCGGGCGGGGGGTCTGGGGGCTCCTGCTTGATGGGCCTGCTGCCAAAACAGTTCTGTGCAAACGCCGCTGCCTCCTCCGAGCCCGAGCTAGTCCTGTGCGCCCCGGGCGCTGCCGCAGCCGCTTTCTGCTGGCTGGCGTAGCGGTTGGCTCGCTCGTAGGTGCGCTGGTGATGGTTTTTGCTCCGCACGCTGTGCGGGATGGGCTCGGGGAAATTGGTGTTCCCGTAGGTGTGGTTGAGGTTCTCCTGCAGCGCCGAGACGTCGGGCTTCTTCTCGTAGCCGTTGCTGACCCAGCTGCTCCCGCTCCTCTCGGGCGCCCCGTAATTGAGAAACTGCGAGGGGAACACGTGGTTGCTGGAAAAGCCGTAATACCCGAAGGAGGGAAGCGCGAACTTGGAGTGAAACCCGTTCACGGAAGGCAGATTGGGCTGTGCATAGTAGGAATGGTAAGAGTAAACACTGTTCATGCTGTACGGGTCGGAGGGCCGGCAGCTGCCCAGCACCGAGTAGCTCTCCACCACGGCGTTGCCGTTGTACTTGAAGGCGTTGTAATGGCTCTGGGGTTCCACCTTGATGGAAGGTTTCAGCGGCTGCGGGGCTATCCCGCCTTTCAACGCCATACCTGTGGGACAGCACACACAGCCCCCGTGACCTGCCGGCCGAGGGAGCCACCGGAGGGGAACCGGGACCCCAAAACAGTTGGCCAGACTCAGAAATCCCATGGTGATAGGTTTGCCAGCCAGCTGCAGAGGTTGGCATCACCTGCCATCAGCTGGCGCACCGGCATCGATTCGCACCTTCGTGAAAACCCAGGTGGCACAGAGATGCCATCCAGCACCACAACACAGCGGCCCAAAAACGTCCCCAGCCACACCCCCACCCCCTCACGCGCTTTCCGGGCGGCTCGGGGTGGCAGGACCTCACCTCTGCCCCCGTTACCTGCATTTGGCTGGAGCGTGGGGAGCTCCAGCGCTTCCTGCTTGATCTTCTCTGGTGTCATCAGCTTCTCTTTCTGCAGCTTCTTCCTCTCGGCAGCAGCTCTCCTGGCCTCCAGCTGCCGCTGCCGGCAGGACTTGGCGGGCTCGGGCAGCTTGCGGACCTCGCGGGGGAAGGACGTGAGCACCTGGATGGCCCCGCTGCCCACCTTGGCGTTTTGGTTCTCCTCGCTGCCAAACTCATCTGTGCTGGACATCTTGTAGAGGGGGAGGACGTGCAGCTGCTCATCTTCAGGAATTTTCCCCACCACACGATTGTCTTCCTTCGTCAGCGTGCAGACCTGGCCAGAGCACGTGCTGTCAGTGGGATGCTGGTGGATGTGGCCCGTGCTGGCCGAGCCAAACCTCACACTTCTTCCCCACACTGATGTGAAGCCACACCAGCCTGGCATCCCCCCAACCTGCTCTGGTCCCCAGCTGGTATTTGGAAACCTCCCATGGGGTTTGGGTTGGACAACAGGAGATGCTGGTCCCTGTTAGACCTGAGCAGCTCATGTGAGGTGCGCCCACACCAAACACCTGGAGTCACGGGACTGGGGATGGAGCCTCTCAAAAAGGAGCACCCCAAATTAGGGGGGAGCACCCCAAAAAGCCCTGCCAGGTGCCTGCTTACCACGGTGCAGCCGTTGTACAGGTTGTGCTGGTCCTTGTGAGCGTGAGCACAGAAGTCCATGCACGCCGTCACCCCCGAGAACGGCCTCCCCTCCTTCAAGCCCAGCCGGCAGTCGATGGCTACATCCTCGTTGGTGACCTGTGGAAGGAGGAGCTGGTTACCCAAAATCCCCCAACAGCACCACCCCACACCCACTCCAGCTGTGTGCCAAGGGCTGGGGTGAGCAGGACCTGGTTTTGGTAGGCTTGCGGCGCCAGCCTCTTGTAAAGCGGAGCAACCTCGGTGGCCAAGTCCTGAAAGCTTCTCCGGAGCAGCTCTTCCTGTGGTAGGGAAAAGAGGAGGATGTTACCGAGGGGTTTTGGCAGCAGGGATGGAATTGGGGACAGAGCCCACAGACACCACACAGCAGCCAACCCTTGCCACGATATCCACCACGGCACAAAGCATGTGGTTTAAATTCCTCGTGAGGATTTGGCTGTTCAAGCTCCAGCCTCTCTGTCTTCTGGGATTTCTGCAGAGAATGGCATTTGTGCCACCTTTCCTTTCCTCATCTCTCGCCCATAAAAAACCCCACAAGGAATCCTATTTTCAGAGTCCTGACAGGAAAGCAGCTCCAAACCACCACCCCAGCGGCGCTGCCCCCGCTCCACCTCCATCACCCACCTCTTTGGGGTTGTCTCCCACCAGCCTGAACTTGCGGGGAGTTTTGCTGCGGGCGTATTTGCAGCCGTTGAAGTACATGCTCCAGGAGCAGCCGAAGGAGAAGGAAGCTCCGCAGGTGTTGGGGTCCTTGCCTTGGCACGCGCAGGTCCGGCTGGGGGGACATGGGGTGGGAGTGTCAGCCGCCGGTGCCGCGCGGTGACGGCAGCTCTGGGAACGGGAGGGAGCCCCGTATCCCATTCCCATGCCCTGTTCCCGTACCCCGTCCCCATACCTAATTCCCCTACCCTATTCCCACATCCCATACCCTGCTCCTGTACCCCATTCCCGTACCCTGTTTCCACACTCTGTATCCCGTACCCCGTATCCTGTTCCCACATCTCCTTCCCACACCCCGTTCCTGCACCCCATATCCTGCACCTCACATCCCACACCACATTCCTATACCCCATTCCTGTACCTCATTTCCACACCCCATACCCACATCTCTTTCCCATACCCTGTTCCCACACCCTGTATGTTGTACTCCATATCCTGTACTCCATACCCCATACCCCATTCCTATACTCCATTCCTGTACCCCATATCCCGTACCCGTTCCCGTACCCCATATCCTGTACCCCATTCCCATACCCCATATCCCATACCCCACATCCCGTACCCGTTCCCACCCCGCCTCCCCACCCGGGGCGCTGCCGGTGGGACTCACTCGTCGTTGAGGCCGCAGCGGCGGCTGGTGGGGTTGCCGTACTTGGTGAGGGTGTCGGTGAGCTCCTGGTAGAGCGTGTCCCCCAGCGTGCGGGGGATGCCCTCCCAGGCCAGGATGAGGATGATGATGACGGCGTTCTGGCAGTGGTGGCCGGCGCGGTGCCGCACCAGGCACAGCAGCTTCTCCTCCTGGTTGTGTCTGCGGATCACCTGCGAACCAGAGGGGCTGGGTCAGACCTCATGGGATGGGGAGTCCCACAAGTCCTGGGGTGCCCTGAGCTGGCTGTGCCAGAAGGAGCTGCTGGCACTGGACACACCATTCCCTGGTGCCGGGTGTGGGGAGCCCCAAGGGGTTTCCCTGGGGGTGGATGTGAGTGAGGTTCCTTCAATTCCTTCTTGCCATAAATCCAGCATCCCTCCCCTGGCCATGGTGGAGCTGCAGCTCTGCTGGGTGGGAGATTCAGACTCCAAACCCCCTCCTCATCCTCCTCACCCTGCTCCCCACAGCTCCCACTGGGTTCTGCTGGGGGGGAGATGATCCCTCACCACAGGGACCTGCTGGTGGCCAGGCACAGAGGGGACAAGCCCGGGGACGAGAGGCACTCACCCACTTGGCGATGGGGCAGCCCCGGGAGCTCTTGCCCTCCTTGCCCGTGTAGATGACCTTCTCGATGCGGATGGCCTTGCCCTTCTCACCGTACCTGCCGGGGCACAGCCGTCAGCCCCACAGCCACACACAGTCCCACTCACCTTCACGGGCCCCTCAGGAGCCCCCAGGCACCCTCAGGAGCCCCCAGACACCCTCAGGAGCCCCTAGGCACCCTCACAAATCCCCACTCCCCTGACAGGACCCCACTCACCCTCTCAAGCACTCCTCTCTCAACAGGACCCCAGTCACTCTCCCAAGTTCCAACTCCCCTGACAGGACCCCAGCCACTCTCCCCACTCCCCTGACAGGACCCCAGCCCCGTGAGGGGCTCTCACCTCTCCTCCATGAGCTCTCGGATGGAGGCCACGGTGGGCCCCGAGCCCAGGTGGGTGTAATAGGGCCCCTCATCCTTCTCCACGATTTGCTCTGCAGAGACAGGAGGGGAACAGAGATTTGGGGTTTGCACCCTTGCCAGCTGCCCTGAAGGATTCCAAACACTCAAATCCCCTCAAACCGAGCAGTTCTGCACCAAAAATCAAGGGTTTGTTAACAGCAGCTCCTCATTCCCTGCTCTGGAGGATCCTGCCAGCACTGAAACGCTGCTGGAAAACCCTCACCCATTGATACCCACCCCTTTTTGGGACCCAAAACCCCCTGAGGAGCCACAGCCCTTGGAAGCAGCCTGGCACTGACCACAGCTCCATCCAGGGAATCTGGTCTGACCGCTGCAGCTCTGCTGGGTGGGAGATTCAGATTCCAAACCCCCTCCTCACCCTGCTCCCACCCAAGGTTCCTGTCCAGGACCTCTCACGGGCACCAGCCCAGCTGGGTGCTGCCATCACAGGATAATTTTGGGAGCAGGAAGCTCTTCCAGCCTGCTTTAGGCTTTCCCAGAGGATTTGGGGGTGCTCAAGGGATGCCCTGAGCTGGCTGAGCCCGTGCCAGGAAGGAGTTGCTGCATGGGGAAGGGTTTGGGCTGCAGGGGAAGGATTTGGGCTACGGGAGAAGGATTTAGGCTATGGGAGAAGAATTCAGGCTACAGGAAAAGGGTTTGGGCTATGGGAGAAGGATTTAGGCTATGGGAGAAGAATTCAGGCTACAGGAAAAGGGTTTGGGCTATGGGAGAAGGATTTGGACTACAGGAGGATCTTGGGGGTTGCAGGGAGAGGATCCAGGGGCTGCAAGGAAAGGATCCTGGAGCTACAGGAGTTGGATGCTGGAGCTGCAGGAGGATCCTGGGGCATCAAGAAGAGGATCCTGGGGCTGCAGGAGAAGGACACTGGGACACAGCCCTGCAGACAGCAAACCCCCAGGGGCTTTCAGGGCATGAAGGAGCCGGGGTGGGAAGTGAGGGATGCCCCAGGCAGCCCCAGCACATGGGGATGTTCCAAAACCACCAGCTGGGATGTGGCCTGCACCACGGCCAGGGCTGGTTTGTCTTTGCATCCCTCTGCTCTCACCACCCTGATTTTCATTCCCATCATGTCCAGCTGGCCGCGAGCCAGGCTGAGGAGAAAGCCAGGCTCAGCTGGGCTGCAGCTGTCCAGACAGGGATCAATATGGGATGCTTGGAAAAAGCTCATTTTGTTACAGCCTCCAACAGCTCCCGCGCCCAATAAAGCACCGAGCCCTCTCCTGCTGCATTTCTTTCTTCCACAGCTTTTCCTTGAGAAAACAGAGAAGGGGAAGGGGGGGAATGCCCCCTCTCCCAGCCCCTAAACAAATCTTTTCCTGGCAAACTCTAAGGTTGGGTTTGAGTGGCTTCAGGAAAGCTTTCCCTCCTCTCCATGGAGTTTGGGCTCATTCCTGCTGCCATTCACGAACAAATAAATAAAAAATCACAAGCCCCACTAATAAAGTGCAGCCTGTGCTTAGCCCAGGGCATCCCCTCCCAGCACTGGGGGGGTTGTTTTTCCAGCTGGATGCCCCCAAATCCTCACCCTGCTGCTCCCAGGGCAGCACATATGTCCACTCTAAATTTTGGGGAGGGAATATCCAGCTCCCCACGCTCGGATGGAGGTGGACTGGAAGGACTGGGCAGGAATTCTCTAGCACTTGCTGCAAAGTCTAACAAATGCCAATGCACACCAAAAATAACCAGAAAAAACACACACAAATCCAAGAGTTTGGTGATTTTTCAATGAATCCTGGTGGGACTGGCAGTGAACAAGGCAGCATCTCAGCAGCAAGTATTTCTCCAGTGACAAGCACAAGCATCAAACCAAAGTTTGGGCTACTCAAAGCAACCTGAACCAGCTAATTTGGCTGAAAACAGCAGGAATAACCAGGTGAGAGGGAGTTTAGGTGGATTTGGACACTGGGACCACCATGGATTTGGGGGATTCAGCTGGTTAAGGTTAAATAGGAGAAAAACCCAACAGCCCTTTGGTTTTGCTGCTCATCCAACCCCCAGCCCCAGCCCAGCCAGTGACACCAGTGCCACCCCCGTGGTGACACAGCCATTTCCATCCAACCTTAAAAACAAGAGAGGAGAAGAGAAAGCAAAAGGGAGCTCCACAGCACCAGGGTTTCACCACGTGAGGGCCTTTCCTCCCCACACATCGGGGCTTTGCTGATGCCATCCTTCCGTTACCTTCCCAGGTCAACCCCACCCTGCACAGCCACCTCTGCCACCCTCCCCAGCACGGCTGCTGGCTCACCAACGCAGTCACAGGTGGGGAATTCCGCCTGTGCCCTCTTGGCAGGGGTGTCCAGGAGGCTTTTGGTCGGCGTGTCCAGGTATTTCAGCGGAGACTCCAAGAAGCCGCTCAGGGTGGGCGTCAGCGGCACCTCGTCCTTGGTGGGCGTTCTGTCGACGTCGTCCACGTCTGGGTTTTGGCTTTCCTCAGAGTAAAAACACGTGGTAGACACCACGGTGATAGCACCAGAAGACTCGATTTTGATCTGTTTGGGGGAGCGGGCAGTGAAGGGTGGCTCTGACAGCGGCCCCTTCCCTGGAGAGACGCTTTTGGGTCCGGCTTGGGGAGCGCTGCCGGGAGCCGGGGCGGCGGTGGCCGCGGTGCTGGCCACGGTGGGGGACCCTTGCGGGGCTGGTGCTGGCCCCCCCGGCAGCTCGGCAGCCCCGGCAGCGAGCGGGGCAGGCGTCTCGGGGGGCGGCAGGTTGAAATTCTCCCCAAACTCGGCTTCAAATTGTCGGATGAGCTCTTCCAACTTGTCATCCACCATGATGGGAGCCGAGCTGGCTGGCGGCGGGGCAGCTTCCTCCGAGCCAGTCGAGCCCGCCGGCGCTGAGTGAATGTGGGGGCCCCCCCCGGGGGCACCCCTTTCCTGAGAGTCGGGAGCCGGGGGGACGCCGTCCGGGGGGTTTGGTGGCGGGGGGCATGCGGCGGGCTGGGGTAGTGCAAGAGGCTGGTGCGGGAAGGCCGGCGGCGGCGGCGGCTCCGTTTGCATCTCTTCGGCGGGGGGTTCAGCGGGGGGCTCGGCGGGCGCCCGAAACCCCTCCAGGCTGATCTGCCAGAGGGGAGGGAAGAGCGGCTGCGAGTCCTTCTGCTTGGCCTTCTTGATCTGCACTTGCTTGCGGAGAGGTTTGGCCGGCGGGGGCTTTTCGGGCGGCGTTTTCTTCTTCTTCTCTTTGGGCTGCTTTTCCAAGGGCTTGGGGGGCGCGGCGGGGGGGGCGGGGGGCCCCCCCCCGCCCCGCCGGGCCCGGTCCGGGGGTGTTGGTGCCGCCGCCGCCAGGCTTTGCTCGAGGAAGAGGCTGCGCTTGTGGTGGAGATGCTGCTGCAGGACCAGCTGTGTCTTCTTGTGCAGGTCAGGCTCCTGCGGTGCTGGCACGCGGGGGCCGCCCGGTGCTTCTTTGCTGGGTGCTCGCTCGGGGGGCTCTGTTTTGGGAGCTGTCACTTTGCCGGCCGTCGCTTCGGGTCTCTTGAAAGCCGCCTTGATGTAGTCGTCAGCATTCCCCAGCAGCTGCTCCAGCTCGGCCATGGGGTCTCCAGCCCCCGCTGCCCCCTCGGCCTCCAGCCCCCACGGGGCCGCGAAGTTCCCCCGCGGAGGTGCCGCGCCGAAAAATGGCTCAGGTGCTGCTCCCGGCTCGGGTGGGTACCGGGGCTCGTCCCCTCGCTGCCACGCGGCCCCCGGCGGGCCGAGGGGGCCGGGGCCGAAGGGGACGGCGGCGGGCGGCGGCGGCGGGGGCTGCCCATCGCCCGCGGGCTGGGGCAGGGCGGCCGACAGCTGCGTCAGGGCTTCGATGGCTATGGCGGTCTGCAGGCTGATGTTCTTCTCCTTGGCGATGGTCAACGCACTCTGGGAAAAGGGGAGGCCGTCGGGAGGGCACGGCTCGGCAGCCTCAGGCACCGGCTGGGGGTCGATAGCACCTTCAGGGGGAGGAGGCGGGGGGATGGCGGCGGCGCGGGGACGAGGTGACGCCAGCTCTTCTCCCAGAGCCGTCTTGATCTTCTGCTCCAGCCATTCCAGGTAGTCGGGGCACTCGGGGCCGTCGCAGTTGCAGTTGGGGGGCTTCACACCGTGCTTGGCCAACGCCAGGGCGGCCTTGAGGGCGTGCAGGTCCTCTCCTCGGGGCACCCCGTCCGCCGTGCCCAGCCCGCCCCGGCTCATCTCCGAGTCGAACTTCTCGTAGAGCAGCGACGGCGAGCCCGGCGGAGGGAGCCGGTACGAGGAAACGGCTTCGGCCACCGCCGAGAAGGCCACTAGGTTCCGGACGTCTTCCAGGTGGGCTTTGCCAGTGGTGGGCGGCTGGCCCGGCGACCACCCGCTGGGCTCCATCAGCACGGTACCCCCCGCCTCCGGCCGGCCCCCATTCACCAGGCTGAGCCCGCTGCCCTCCTTCAGCCGCCTTTCTTCCACATAATTAATTGGCCCTTCTTCCATTTGGCTTCTGCTGGGTCCATCAACCGCGCTGCCCGCCGAACCTGTCTGTGAGGAGGGACAGAGAAGAGACATGAGCATCTCCACGTGCCCCAACCCTAATCTTTCCCTTCTGTTTCCTTTAGTTCCCCTTTCCCCATCTCATTTTGTGACCAGGGGGATGAAGACACGGACGAGCCACGCGAGGAAGTGCCACCAGCAAAGCCACGCGGGTTCTGCCCGGCTTGGCTGGGAGGACAGCCACTTTCCACCGTGCCACCCACGTCCCCACCCCGCCGCCCGCTTTCGAAATCACTCACAGGACCGTTTGGGATTTCCACCATCCGCCCAGGGCGCCACGCACGCGGTGGGACAGCCAGGGTGTCCCTGGCTGCCGTGGCACAGTTTGCCCGCACTGAAGGAAGCAGCACAAGGAGGAGAGGGGGGTTTTGGAGCCGTGCCAGGAGCGAACATCCCGGCCGGGAGCAGCCGTCCTTCGCCGGGGGCCGCGGCACGGCAGGAAGCCGCCGAGTTGGCTACGCCGGTGCCAGGGGCTGTTTCACCTCAAATAACCCGGCGTCTGTATCAACACACACACCAAACACACCCAGCCGTGCCAGCGCCGGCTGGTGGCACCAGGGGAGCCCAGCACTGCGTAAGACCCTCCAAGGGGTTCTGCCAGGGATGGAGGGGGTCTCTGTGCCGCTGTCCCACCTCGGCACTGGGGATTTCGGTGCTGGCAGCGCATCGAGCCGTTTGCTGATAAGCAGGGGGAGCTTCCGGCAAGCTAAAAATACAGCAGAGTTCACTGGAAAAACCATGCCAAAGCAAGCAGAGGCTGTGGGCAGAGCTTCCTGCCCCTGGACGGGGCCGCCAGCAGCCCGTGGGAAGGATCCGCAGCTCAGACTGGGGAGAGCCGAAATACAGAGTTAAATACAGAGTTAAATACAGAGTTAAATACAAAGTTATGGCTCTGGGTGCTCAAAGTGTCCCTGTGTGGCTGCTTTAACCTTTCAGGCACCACGGCTTCGGCGCAGAGTCCTTCACCCTTGGCGGTGAGAGCGTGAGCAGAGCCACGCTGCAGAGATAAGAACGCTACGCTGCAGAGATAAGAACGGCTGCTGACTCCGGCGAAACCTCGCAGGAACCACTCCCAGCACGACTCTTTCCAAAAAAAAACCCTTTTCCCCCGCGCAGAAATCCCCCAGGGCAGCACGGTGCCGGTACGGCATCACCCCGTGATGTTTTCTGAGGGTGTTCAGAGGGGCTCCGGTGCCTGGGGGGAGGCGGGACCGGTCCGGCAGGTCCGGGGAGAAAGCGCAGCCGGGCAGGGTGGGGACAGCACGCCTCCGCTCTCCTTTGCAAACCCAGCAGGGAACGGCCTCGCCCGTCCTTCCTCCTCCTCCTCCTCCTCCTCCTGCCCAGCTAAAGGGGAGATAACCGCCCCGAGCTCCCCCTCTCAGGGGCTGCGGGGACACCCGGTGCCCCAAGCGTCGCCAGCCCAGGGAAATGATACAAACCTGTTCTGCTCCGCGTGGGGAGCGGCCCCAAGGGTTTGCCCAGGGGAGAACCTGCTGGGAAAGGGCAGGGGAAGCCCCAGAAATGAGCCGCAGGGCCAGGGAGGCACCTTGGGCTGCTCCAGCCCGTAAACTGGGTTAGGGAACCGGGCTGGGAATGTAGGAAAATAGTTCATCGTGTGAACTGAGGGAAGGAGCAAACATCCCCCGCTGCTCCTAAAGGGTTAACCCGAAAGCCACAACCTTCCCCAGTTCAGTGGAGGGAAAACTTCACACACATATATACCTATCTATACATTAAAACCAAATTTTTTCCTGGCTGTCCCATCCAGTTCCTTTTGTTCCTGGCCCTGCTGGCTGGGGGATGTTAAGACCCCGCAGCTTCTCCCCAAAAATCGATCCTCCCTCCCCTTCCCCACGCACTCCCCGCAGCAATCTCCCCTCGCTGCCTTGGCACCAATTCCTCCGCCCTCAGCTTATTTTCCTCGGAAAAAGTTCTGCCTGCCCAAAGTTCCCAAACCTCCTTCCATTCACCCCGAGAAAGGATAAAAGCTGGGGAGGCGAGGAAATAAATTAAAATAAAGAGAAAACCAAGCGATATGGTCGGGGTTAACCCGGCTGCTCCTGCACATCCCCCTCTGCATCCTCCGGGCGCTACAGAAGGGGAAAAAAATCCCCGTGAGCACAACAACTTTAAAAAAACAATCCGTTTTCCCTCCCTCTTTAAATCCCCCCCAGTTTAAATGCCTTAAACAGAAGGAAGGGAGAGAAAAAAAAAAATCAAGCACACACAGGCTGAGCCCGGCTTGGAGCGGTTCCAGCCTGGGCTGCGCTCCCTGGGAACAGCCCGGAGCCGCTCGGACGCGGCGAGCGCGGCTGCGGGGCCCGGGGCGGGCCCGGGACGCGGCTGCGGGGCTCGGGGCGGGCCCGGGACTACTCAACGCGGCTGCGGGGCTCGGGGCGGGCCCGGGACACCTCCGGCCCGGCGGCACTTACGGGGGCAGGGCCGGGAGGCGGCACCGGCACCGTCCGGGGCAGGAAAGAGCGAGCGGGGCCGCGGGAGCCCCGGGAGCCCCGGCCCTCCCCGCCCCCCGCCACAGCAGCTGCGGGAGCCATGAGCGCCGGCGCCGCGCGCACGTACGGACCGGCGGACGGACAGACAGACGGACAGCAGGAGGAGAAGGAGGGAGGGAGGGAGGGAGGGAGGGAGGGAGGGAGGGAGGGAGGGAGGGAGGGAGGGAGGGAGGGAGGGAGGGAGGGAGGGAGGGAGGGAGGGAGGGAGGGAGGGAGGGAGGGAGGGAGGGAGGGAGGGAGGGAGGGAGGGAGGGAGGGAGGGAGGGAGGGAGGGAGGGAGGGAGGGAGGGAGGGAGGGAGGGAGGGAGGGAGGGAGGGAGGGAGGGAGGGAGGGAGGGAGGGAGGGAGGGAGGGAGGGAGGGAGGGAGGGAGGGAGGGAGGGAGGGAGGGAGGGAGGGAGGGAGGGAGGGAGGGAGGGATGGATGGATGGATCCATCCATCCATCCCTCCCTCCATCCATCTGGCCATCCAACCCTCCATCTGTCCGTCCATCCGTCCATCCATCCATCCATCCATCATCCATCCATCCATCATCCATCCATCATCCATCCCTCCATCCATCCATCTGGCTGTCCATCCCTCCGTCCATCCATCCATCCATCCATCCATCCATCCATCCATGCATCCCAAGTTCCAAACCCGCTTTTCTGCCTTTATTTTTCCACTTTTCCAAATTATTCCTTTCAACTCTTTTTGCTGCTACAAAAAAAAAAAACAAACCAAACCCACCCAAAGCCAGCAGGGAAATGGAGTTTAAATCCCTCATCCTCCCAAAACCACCCGCTCCCCCACACCAGGGAACTCCCCAAAAATCCCCCAAAACAAATATCTGGGAGTTTGTCAAACCCCTTGGCAGGAGCCAAACGGGTCAGGAGCCGCAGAGAACGGAGCACACACACAGCCTGGTGCCATCCCATGCAAAAACCACACGATTTGAATCAAAGTGGAGAACCTGGGGGCAGAGGAAGCTCGGTGGCAATGCTGGGCCCTTCTCAGCGGCACCGGGGTGGCTCTGGGGTGGCTCTGGGGACACCGGGGTGGCTCTGGGGACACCGTGAGCCAGGGCTGCAGCAAGGGCACGGCCCGGAGGTCAGCAGGAGCCGCTGCCAGCCGGCGGCGCGGGCCGGCCAAGAGGAGCTTTGGCTGCCGGCCCCGCTGCGGTGGAGCCCGGCCAGCCCCGGCGCTCCCTTCTCAGCGGCACCGGGGTGGCTCTGGGGGCACTGGGGTGGCTCTGGGGGCACTGGGGTGGCTCTGGGGTGGCTCTGGGGACACGGTGAGCCAGGGCTGCAGCGAGGGCACGGCCCGGAGGTCAGCAGGAGCCGCTGCCAGCCGGCGGCGCGGGCCGGCCAAGAGGAGCTTTGGCTGCCGGCCCCGCTGCGGTGGAGCCCGGCCAGCCCCGGCGCTCGGATTGTGGTTTTCCTCCTCTGGCACCCACCCCGGGGATCCTCCTCCGTTGGGATGGTGGCTTTGGGGCACGGCCGGGGGAAGCCCTGAGCGCTGCAGACACGACAATAACAACCCAAGGGCTGTGCCAGGGATGGGAACGCTGCTGGGATCACACCGGACAGGAGGAGGAGGAAGGGGAGGAGGCAGAGGAAGGAGAACAGGGGGGTGGAAGGAGAACGTGGGGAAGGAGATTAAGGCAAAGAGGAAGGCGATGAGGGGAAGGAGATGAAGGGAAAGGAGAAGCAGGAGGCAGGCCGCAGAGGAGCAGCTGACCTCAATCCAACTTGCCACCCCTGAGAAGGGGAGTTCAAGGAAATGTGGGAAGGTGGAGTGCTGAGTGAGGGCAGGGAGAGCCCCCGGGTCCCCCGGTCCCCCGGCCCGCCGCGGTGCCCGTCGCGGTCCCGCCCCTCTCCCGCCCCGTTTCCCGAGCTGTTCCGTGGCCCCGGCTGACCCCGGCTGAGCCGCTCCTGTCCTCGTTTAGCCCGGAGAAAAGCCGGAGTAACCGAGGGAGCTGAGCTGATTTCCGCCGTGGGAAGCACGGCTCTGCTCTGCTCCAGTCAGGAGCGCTTCTGGAGACCCCCATGGGCACGGCCCTTCCCACCCAGCCACCACTGCACCCCCTTTTCCTCCTCCTGTAGGGGTATGACCAGCTGGAATGTGGTATAGTCCCACTCCCCATCCCACCTGTACCAGGGGCTTCTGAGGGAGATGGAGGGTTTTTTTCAAGGTGGAAAAAAAGATTGTTCCCACCTCCAACTACCTCGTTTCCCCCAGGAAAAGTGTTTTCCCTTTTGGAAGGGATGTTTGAGGTGGGGATGTTCGGGGTCAGGATGGCTGGGGAATGGAGGCTCAGGGTGGGAATGCTCAAGAGTGGGGATGCTTGGGGTTGGGGTGTTTGGGGTGAGGATTTTGGGATCAGGAATGCTCAGCAAGGGGATGTTCGAAGCAGGAATGCTTAGGGTTGGAATGTTTGGGGGGGATGCTCGAGGTGAAGATGATTGGGGTCAGGACACTTGGGGCAGGGACATTCAA